GTTTTGCTTTAATGGTTTGATTGATAAACATACGGATTCGAACTAGGAAAGTTGAGTTTTCATATTGAGCATTCGGTCACTTTAACAGATTGCTGAGTAGAAATGTGATAAATAACATTTTCCATTTAAGCTAAATCATATCGAATAGGTTTTATTTGATTGAGTGATTGAATGATATCGAAATCATTGTGAAATTCCAACATTCTGGGTTCGATCCCATATAAGATGCTCGGTAGTCATGATGTCGTAGTAAAAACTATAGAGAAAATTTACCCAGTGTTTTTTTATCCGTTATTACTTATGTATTTAAACTAACTTTTAGTCTGAACCATGTTGGTAGATGCAGACTACTTGGTTGAGGTCCGCATGACTATCGTAACCATCAGTGGTTGGAGACTGTGGATGATATGGCTCAGAATCGATCACAATAGCGTAGGTGTATACACTCGTAGTCGTCGTCATCGTCGTCATACTGTTTTGGAGCTCATAAATCTTCACTTATACCAATCTTTGTGTTTTTACTTTCGTGTCGAGGGAATTGCAGAGGTTCCTCATTCTGAGTATAAGTGATCAGCGTATTTCCTGCACAATAATCAGCAACGACCAGATACAACAATTACTATTGCTATTATTATGACGAGACTTTAATTTATGGACGACCTTTGAACGGATCTTAATTGACCTTGAGAACATTAGCCAATCAGAAAATAGTAATTATAGAGTAAACATGTATTATACAAAACCAAAGGAATAAAGTGGATACACTTCTTATACGTGGTTCAAAAACTTGTCAAGGTTAGAAAGAGGTTCAGAGGTTCTAAAATCGTAATACATACGGTTACAGAATAATCGACCTCTGGAGCCAAAGATCAACTCTCAAAAACTCTTTCAACCTCGACCACATAGTTTCAATATTGTTTATGTGCACTTCGGTTGTTGAGTACACAAAGTGCTACTTGTGGATAACAACACGATGCACATAAACAAGCCTATGTAGGAGTTTGTATACTCCCCAAACATCCGTATATATTGTAGTACCTGACTGCAACCAGTGTTACTGGTGCTTTTATTATCCAGTTTGCAATAATCGTCGTAATTTACCTTAGTTAGGAAGTATATATGGGGTTTTCATCACGAACTGACATCAGTTATAATGCCATAAAACTATTTAGCCAAATGGATGAAAGACTTTCGCACCAAAATCCGAGATCTATTATCTTATACCTAATTGATTCGTTCACAGATCATAGTCTCGCCGTTTTATTTGTTATAGCCGCTCAATTATCACATTTTGTACAAAATTCCTTATGAACCCATCGTACGTTAGCACCAAGCACTGAAGTTGACGCCGTAACCTTGAAATCTCTAAAGCGCTCCTGATTGGCTCGTTCATAAATTAGTCTTGCCATTATTATTATTATTATTATTATTATTAATATTATTATGACAGGGTCTTCTAAGTGGAAATCATTCAATTTAAGTACTAACTTTGATTGTCCATTCCAAGTCAATTAATAACATGAAATTTTATAATAAAAATTATTGATAAATATGACAAAATTTATCCTGGAATATTTTTATTGTTTAAACAAGAATTAATCATCATCATCATCATCATTGTCATCATCAGCATCGTCATTAGTTACAACATGTCCGAACGTGATTCTATAATAAAGAAAAAGACTTATATCTTATTATCACTATTATTACCATTACTATTATCATTATCATTATTATTATTACTATTATTATTATTATTATTATTACTATTGTGATTACTATCATTATTGTTACTACTATTATTATTACCATTAATGTTATTATTATTATTACTATTACTATTACCATTATTATTATTATTATTATCATTATTATTGTCATTAGTTTATATATACCAATGTATAATTCCATCTACTTTTCTTATCATTTGAAATATATAAGGTGAAATATCAATAGTTTTGTAGGATAAAGAAAATAATAATAATAAACTAATTGACGCCATTTCTTACATATTCACCATAAGTACCATCTTTATTGTATCATCTATACCTTATTAATCATTATTCAAGATTGACAGTAATAACAAGTAAAAACTAGTAGTAGTAGTAGTAGTAGTTGTTGTTGTTGTTGTTAGTTATTAAGTGAAGAAATTACATTTTGATAGGTCAATTACTATATTCACAATACAATGATTAATTTAATCATGTTCATTGTCACTATGCTATCCATAACAATAATAATAATAATAATAGTAATAATAATAATGAGAGTATTGGGTAAGTAAGTAATATTAGCCAATTATGAAGAACGAATTAAAAGATGATTCCAAATAGAGAATTGATTTCTTCAAGAAACAATGTTTGTTTTCTTCTTCTCCTCATATTACTTTTATCATCCACTTATTTGGAATTTATGAAATAAATTCACTTACAATTGTTTAATTGTTAAGGTGTTTATGTGCACGCGTATGTGTGTGTGTGCGTGCATGTGTGTGCGTGTGTGTGTCACGTTTTACAAATAAGTAGTATGTTTGTCACACTTATCTGAATAATATAATAATAATAAATATTAAATTTATTTGATATTGTTTTAATTGAATCTTCCCATTGATATTTAGGACTGTAATTGATCAGTCTTATGTTTGTATATGGGCATCCTGTGTGGATAACCTTGATATAGCTCTAATTCATATGCATTATCAATAAAGAGAAATAGTGGCTAGCAATGGAATCCAGGATGTGTGTTTTGTTTTATTTGAGACTCATCAGCTGGGTGTGCTTGAATCTCGCAGTTATTGTTCACTCTGTGCCTTAAACCCAGTACCAATCCTTTCAAACGTCATCGTGTTATCCGCTTAGCTTCTGAGTCTTAATAGCCACTTGCTTGTGCAATGAGGTGAAATTTAAATTCACTTGGTATTGTTTTACTTGAAACTTCCTATTGATGTTTTGAACTGCAGTTGATCAGTTTCTTATTGGTATATGTGCATGTTTTTTTATTGCCTTTATATCGTCTTAATTTACAAGCATTATATGCAGAGACAGATAGTAGCTAGTAGTGGTATCCAGGACAAGCGTTTCATTCTATTTCACTATCAGGACCCATTAGGTGAGTGGATAACAAGATAGAGTATGAAACGAACGGTACTGAGTTCGAGTCACCGAGTAAACAACAACTCTGAGATGCAGGTGCATCCAACTGATGAGTCTCGAATAGGACGAAACATAAGTCCTAGTTTCCACTACTATCCACTATCCATCTATGCTTATAATCATCATCATCATCATTATTATTCTTATTACTATTATTGTTAATATCCAAATTATATCATGTGAAATTGGCATGTACAAAAGATGTAACTCAAATACAAAAAACAAACAAACAAACAGAAATTAAGCAGCTTTCAGCTTAGTGTGCTTTTAACAAAATTTTTTTCTAGTCATCCGAAATACCCTTGTTTGACAAGACACATTTTCATGCAAAATGGGTGTCACCTTTACTTCTTCTTCTTCTTCTTCTTCTTCTTCTTCTTCTTCTTCTTCTCTTTGTTGTTGTTGTTGTTTTTGGAAAGTGTAAATGATTTACTATCTTAATCATAATAGATGTCATATTCCTTGTATAAAAGTAAACCCTTAAAAGTACTTAGTAAAATAAGATTTCTTGTTTAAATTCTAGAAAAAGTTGAAGTATATGTAATATAAGTGATGTTTTATTACTTTTTCGGGGGGGAGGGGTTGTGGCAAGTGTTGAATTTCTATAGTTTTGTAGACTAAATCAGTATATAGCTGTTTCACTCTAGTGAGGTAATCCGGCAAATTATTTTACAAGTTCTTTTGAATAGTCATAACTAGTGAAGCTTGATTATATCAAAAATCAGAAAGATATCAATAATAATAATGAAAGATGGCAAACTCAAGTTACGAATTGATTGAGGTTAGACATGTACATGATTATTGGTTTAAAAGATAAGCGCTTGCCGAGAGATTTAAAGTTTATCAATGCGATCTATGATGAAGTACTGAATGGCCACTGATGATCAGTACCATAGTAGACCAAACAGTTAACCAAGCTATCCTGATTTTCAATATATATAATTATTTTTTTGAAGAAATGTATTAAATCCTAGATAGTGTTAGAGGTACAAGATACTCGTAAGTTACTAATGTTTGACCACAGATGTCTTAGAAATATTGCTGGGATCTGCTGGGATCACCGGATAAGTAATAGTGAAGCTATTTAGGAATGATGGTAAATCAGTTGATGAGGTAATGAATCTTCATCGACTGAGATGGTTGGGCCACGTGTTGCGTGTGCCTGAACACCGATTACCACAACGCGAAATGCTAACCGGTGTTAGGGATAATTGGAAGAAAGTTAGGGGCGGCCAAAGCAAAACGTGACATCAGTGCTTAAAGACACTAACATCAGGTCTGAGCCATGTTGGTAGATACAGACTACTTGGTTGGGGCTCGCGTGACTATCGAAACCAACGGTTGGAGACGTTTGATGACATAGATCAGAATCCATCACAATGGCGTCGGTGTATACACTCTCTGTCTTCCTTTAAACTAAGTGATTAAAATCGATTCATGTCTTTCTTTCTACGAACTAATTCTATCTTCCTGTACTATCTCCTTATACACACTCTTTCTTCTATATATTACCACCACTGAATTGACTACTTCTAGGAATCCGGTGTTCATCTTGTTGTGCTAATGAGGTATGGCAACTTGAATCGATGCATATATGTGTCTGGTCCTACGTTGTAACTGACTGACTGACTGACTAGACAGTGTTGCTCTCAATCAGTTGTATGATACCATTACAACTTGATTAATAATAAACAAAAGAAGTTACCTCCTAAGTTTAGGGTTAGTTTCAATGTGAAGAATGAACAAAATAACTGTCCAATACTCTTTTAGTTTAAAGAGTTTCTCTCATTGATTGTATTTTATAATATATTGATTTTTAATTGTATAATTCTTTATTATTTATTCTAGGAATTTATCGATTTATCATGGAACATTTTCCATATTATCGTGATAATCGTCAAGGTTGGCAAAATTCCATCAGACATAATCTTAGTTTAAATGATTGTTTTATTAAATTACCACGTGATAAAAGTCGACCAGGAAAAGGGAATTATTGGACATTGTCAACAAATGCAGATGAAATGTTTGAACATGGAAATTATCGGTAAGAATAATATTGATGCTAATCATTATTGTTATTCTCATATTGGTCGATGTTAATATTATACTATTGAACGTTAATCAAGTGGGTTTAATGGTTAGATTTTCAATGTGTGTGTGTGTGTGTGACGGATTAGCGCGCGAGACAGAAGGCCCTGGGTTCGAATCCCGCGGGGAGCGGGATCGTGGATGCTCATTACCACAGAGGAGTCCCAAAATAGGACGAAACGGCCGTTCAGCACTTTCAGGTTTTCAGTGGTGGTCTAACATCAATCGGTTCATGATCTCAATCAAAAACTTAACAATTATTCTCCGTTTCATGTTCTTCAATTCACTTACTTGTTTGGTTACCTACTAACTCTGTTTTGGACTGTCCTTATCAGTTGCTTTAAAGGGTTATTCATCGACTGAATATTCTCCTTTAATTCTCTATGCATTGTGTTCTTTTTTTCTTTCTCTTCTTATTTTACCTTGAGACGTTAAAGTTAGGGCTTGCCTTGTGATGCATTATGATGATTACCTTTGTATCTGTCACATCCATCTCGTTGATAGTATTTAGCTAATGACTTTGGAGTATTTTGTATAGACAATTATTTTAAAATACTTGTACTTGCTTAATAATGGTTGTAGTAGTTCTCCTAGTGCTAGCACATTACAACAAGACTATTTTAACATTTGTGTTGAAAATTCTGACCTTAGTTTTGGCTGACAGTTGATTTGAGTTTCAGATTACCTTCAATTACAGGAATAATCCCCATGCTATACTAATTCATGTCTTTCCGACTTCATTAGATCCTCTTTGTTTAGTTATGATCCTGATATGCTATACAATGACTTCCTCCTCTGTCACAGCTTCACCATCAAGTATAAGCTAATTTCTCATCGGTGTGTTGCATTCTAGGATCCTACTCTATCTCTCGCTCTCCCTTGTTAATATTGAAGCCTACTGTTGTGAAAGCCGCAGCTATATTGGTTATCTTCACCTTCATATCTAAAGTGACCACTGTAATCCTTAATACTCCTGTTATAAATAAAGCATCCTATGATTGATCGAATCGCTCTTTTTAAAGAAGCGATAACATAAATACACTAATAAATGTTATTCTTAGCTAAAATGAATCTGAAACGTTCAGGTAGTACTGATCATTAGTGCTCTTTATAAACACAGATGATGATAGCTAACCCTGCAATCCAGAATGCCCATTTCATCCCATTTGAGCAGATTGAGTTGACGACTTCTCAGTATGAAGGAACTCGCTTATAATGCTTGTCACTCAATAGTAACATCAAGGTAATCCATACAAGATACTCATATATTAAATGTGACTGTTCAATTGTAGTCATAATCATCACCGGGAATATTCATATAACCAATACAGATGAGTTAGGTTAAATATTGCATCCTTATTCAAAACAATTCAAGATGAGACTATAATTTATGAACGAACAAATCAAATTTATGTTAGCTAGTCATAGGTTTCAGAGTGAAATTCATTAATTGATATGGCTAAATATGATTTTGGCATTCTAGTTAATGTAAGTTCGTAATGAAAACACTAATTGTAATTCATAACTCTTACTTCTGACTGTAAATGATGATTGTTATTTCTCGCACAAATTGATAATACTGTTTAGACTATGATCAGTAAGTGAACTTTCTCAAGATCATTTTGACGTTGTTCAGAAGAACGATGAAAGCTTCACGAATAAACTATCCAGTTCACAGAACAAAACTCCATCAAAATAATCCACCTGAGCTACAAATCTTCTCCACCATCTCAAAATCATATAAACCTAGTACGTTTCTCGTTGTTCGAAAATGGGAGAATTTCGCTAAAAGACAGGCTTCCACTTGAGAACAATTGTATTTTCAAAAAGAATGTATTCGTCAGCATGTTCTACCAACAAATGTAAGATACAGACCTTCAATCAACTTCCCAACTGGATGGAGAATAGCTGAGTAAACTTATATCAATAGTCCTTATTGTATGTTCATTTCCTTAGATTGTATGATTCTCATGACTTCCTGTAACAAGTACCAATGAATATATCAATGACATTAGTTTGGTATGTGAGAGTATAAAATAATTTGATATGTATATATCTTTTTTTTTTAACAAGAAACCGTTTTTTCTTTTATAGACGCCGAAAAAGACGTACTAAATCTTCTATATTCATTGCACCATCCTCCTCCTCATCATCATCACCACCACCACTTTTATCATCATCAACAGGGTCAAATTTGTCAACATCAATATATACGGCGACAACATCAGACAATGCATCATTATCATCAATATCGAAACTAGCAAAATTTATGAAACTATCTAAAGACTCTCAAATACCAACAGAATCTGATATTCATTCGTCTACTTCTTCTTTTTCTTCTTCTTCTCCTTCATCTTCTTGTTCGTTATCATCATTCACTTCTACATCTGTTTCCGCTACCTCCTCCTCCGCTTCCTCTTTTTCATTTTCATCATCAACAGAATCTTCTTCATCAAGAATTATAAATGATCCAAGTATACCACATTCATCATCGCCTCAATGTTTCTATACACCACAGATGTATAAATCATCGTCGTCGACGTCATCATCATCAGTCAATATAATAGACGATTGTATATATTCTAAACATCGTTATCATTTAGATAATCCTTCGAATAATCTATTTTTATATCATAAATTGAATATAAATGATCAACATTCAACATTATGGCCTACTCATATTAATAATAATATACATGATTGTGAACATCAACTATTAACCATACAGAACAATAATAATATTCCATTAAATATGGATTTATATCCAACTAATTTCAATGATAATAATATGAGAAATCAAAATAAATTATTATCCAATCGAAATCAATTAATCACTGAATATTATTCATCGACGACATCATCGTCATCATCATCGTCATCCTCATCAACATTATCATCACCATTCAATAACTGTTTACATTCATCTACATCTCATAATAATAATGATAATAATACTACTAATAGTAATGATAATAATAATAATAATAATAACCATCATCTCATCAATTGTCTGCCAGATTTTTCTATTCAATCAATAATTGGCAGTAATAATGTAGATAAACAAAGTATACAGTTAAATGTTCAATAATGAGATAAAACTAAATCATTCAAAACTTAAATATATGAATACTACTATAAAATACTACTGATAGTAATACTTTAAATATTACTATTGTTCTTTATTCTTTTCTTTCTATACATGTTATTGTTAATTAATCTAGTTGTTTTAATATAATTTCAATGGAATATAATAACATCTATTGCATTCCTTGTTTATATTTCATTCTACCTACCTATACATGTATGTATGTATGTTGGTATATAACCTGTGATCTATTAATGGTTTGTTGTTTGATAAAAAGAAAGAAAAGATTAAGCATCTTTCTTTCTTCTTCTTCTTCTTCTTTCTTCTTCTTCTTCTTCTTCTTCTTTTCCTTCTTTTTGTTTCTTGACAATATTTCTTGCAAAACTATAAAATAATTTGAGAAACCTTTGTAAATCTAAGATAATAAATCATTTATATCTATATATAACTGTTTTTCTTCTTCTTCTTCTTCTTGATGATGATGATGATGAAAGAATTATGTTCACGTATTCGTATGATATATTACTTAATTACTTATTTACACCTGATACTCTTCATGAAGGAGCATAGATCGCCCATCAACACTCGTCATTTAACTCTGACCCAGGGCAATCCTTTCTAGGATTATATATGATTATGATTTGTACCTATTACTTAGTTGTAACAGATAGATGATAGAGTATAATGTTTAGTATAAGAATGAACCAACATAAAGATGAATGATTATAGTAGGAGATTCTTAGTTTCGACCTAGTACTTGGTCGCTAATAAAAATGGTAAAGGAATTATTATTCAGACTGTTAGAATCTATAATGGAGGACATGTTTCAGTCTCTGTTATTTTTATTGGTTTACATGAAAAATGTAAAGTTTTCTAAGATGAATATATCACTCCATCATGGACGTGTCATGTGTAGTATGGTTAGGCATGATGGAAAAAAAGTCATACTTCCAACAGTTCTATAATAGAAATTATGGTGAGACTATCATTTATACACAGCAGTTCTACTGTACGGAGCTGAAACTTGGAGAACTACAACAGCAACCATCAAGAAGGTACAAGTATTTAACAATAGCTGTCTACGCAAGATACTCAACATCCATTGGCCGGATACCATCAGCAACAGCCTTTTGTGGGAGAGAACCAACCAGCTTCCAGCGGAAGAGGAAATTAGGAAAAGACGATGGAAATGGATAGGAGAAACATTTAAGAAATCATCAAACTGCATTACGAGGCAAGCGCTAACTTGAAATCCTGAAGGGAAGAGGAAAAGAGGAAGGCCAAAGAACACATTACGTCGGGAAATAGAAGCGGATATGAAAGGGGTGAATAAGAACTGGAAAGAGCTGGAAGGGATTTCCCAGGACAGGGTTGGATGGAGAATGCTGGTAAGCGTCCTATGCTCCTTCACGAGGAGTAACAGGCGAAAGTAAGTAAGTAAATAAGTTTGAGCGAGGCTGAAGTGACGCTGAGTGTGGACATCTATTGATTAGGACTAAATGAGGGTTATAAAGCAGTTATAATTCTCATTTACAGTTGATGGTTAAGGTTAAAAGTTATATTTCGGATTTTCATCAATAACTAACATTAGCTATGATGCCAAAATCTGTTTAGTCAAATGTATGGATGAATTTCGTGCCAAAATTCGTGACTCGTTATCTTATATCTTATTAGTTTGTACATAAATTATAGTCTCGCCACACTTAGATGACTTGAAAAGGTGGAGCTTATCCTCAGTCGAAGAGGGTTATAGATTTCAGGTTATCTGTTTCTAGTATCGATTTCCAGGTTGTTTTTATCTAAGTCTTGTATTATTACTGAATGTTGTCTATTGCTTTCTTTAGTTAATACACGTGCATTTGCTAGGTCGTTGGCTCACATTTTCTTTTGTACCTCTCTTTACAAGTTCACATCACTTACGTTACTCTGTAAACTTCCTTAGTATACAAAGTACTTTCTAGCTAGACGCAAACCACTACAAAGACTCAAATCTTTTCCATCGCTTATAATAAGCTCACAAGAACAGTTACAGAAAGCACAGCTTTATTCATTAGCATAGGTTTTGTATACATTAAGGCTTCCCTGCTTCAATTATGAAAAGTAACAATCAATCTATCTTGAATATACATTCAAGTTGTAATTACACAACAATCATACATTCGTTAATGGTTTTTAATAGTCATCATTTTCAATGTCGAAACTTGTTAAAGGGTATACAAGAAGGGCAGTGTATCCATAAGTGAACTATTTCTCTTTGAGATTTCCATTATTTAGCATCATGATAGATTGTAAACCATTCAGAACATTGCACAAGTTTAAAAAGTGGGATATTGATTAGAATATTTGTACAGTTGAAAAATACATGATGAAAACATTTGATCAAGTTATCGTGTCCCAATATACTCTCTTGATCGCTGTCAAAAATAGACAAGAGTGGAAAATAACTCTCTATGGATCAATGAAATATAGTCAAAAATTATCAGAAGGGGTTTTTTGAATATTGTAGTAATTTTGATGATTGAAATCACAAATCAATTGAAGCTAGACCACCATAGAATACCTGGAAGGCCGTTTCGTTCTATTGTGGGACTCCTCAGCAATGCGCATCCACGATCCCGTATCTCAACATTCGAACCCAGGACCTATCAGTCTCGCACGCGAACGCTTAACCTCTAGACCACTAAGCCAGCCTGTATCCAATGACACTAATGTCTAACTTCGTGAATGGATCATGCACTTTATGATTGTCACTTTCGTTTGAAATTTAGGTGCGTATATTATAGATCCACTTAATCATCTAGTTTAAATCAGGTAAACTATGTGATAATCATCAGTGCATTTGCATTTTTATATGAAGAACAGAAATTTTTCTCATTGTACTCAATTATGTTTAAATAATAGAACAATTATCAGAAAGGGGTTTTGTGGATATTATAGTAATTTAATAGTTGAATTTAGGATTCAATTAAAACTAAACAACCTTGGAAAACCTGGAAGCTCTGGAGGTATTTCCCATAGTTCTAGTGAAAAGCAGTGACCAGTGGAGTTCAACTGTGTCTGTTGTGAGATAGTAACTTACTGAACACAATGGTGGACGGTGGTTCAATTCCGTGGACTGGTTGAAGTTAGACATTAACACCGTTGGATATCGGTTCATTGGTCTAAAAGTTAGATGTTAGCACGTGAGACTGATAGGCCCTGGGTTGAAATCCCGCTTGCAGGACCGCAGATGCTCACTGTTCAGGAGTCCCACACTTAGATGAAACGGCTCTCCTGTGCTTCTAGGTTTTCTATGATGGTCTACCTTTAGTCGACCCATGAATTCAACTATTAAATGGAACAAGTGTTATCAGTTGAATTTTTACTTGTATCTACAAGAAAATGCACTCTTTAAGAATTAAAATTATCAAATTGTATTAGATAATTAGCATCTGGAAGTATTAAACGGTTATTCTCTCCACATATGAAACTTTCCAGTAATTCACATTAACAAACTCCAGTGTGAACTTTTGACCTCTAAACTACTGAGCTGTGACCTAATAGTTTTCAAGTCTAACTCTATTCATTCACAAAGCAAGTGTTTATCGTACCAACCATTTTCAGTCATTTTCCGATCATTCATTAGATAACTTCTTTATATTCGAGTGTTATTCTAAACGTTAATCTTTACTATATTCGTTTTGTTTTTCATATATTTTACGCTATAAGACCCTCTTCATACCAGATAATTGAGGAGAACTCCAAACATTTGAAATGAAATCTATATTAAACAACATATAACCAAAAATTGTAGATAACTACATTTTGAAAACTGAATACCTATTTCAATAGTTGAGATGATGAGTCAATTGAAGCTAGATCATCATAGAAAACCTGGAAACACTAGACGATTGTTTTGTCCTATTGTGGGACTCCCCAGTACTTTCAGGTTTTCCACAATAGTCCAGCTTCAATTGACTCATCATCTCAACTATTGAAATTACTACAACTTCCACAAAACCCCTTTCTGATATGAATACCTATTGTAAAACACAAAAAAAAAAACAAAAAAACAAAACAAAACAAATAAATTTAAGAAACAATTCTCATAAGTATAGACGTCAGGAGAATATTTATACATATGTACTTGTATATGGGGCAGTCCCTAAAATGATCTGGGTTATTATTATTTTTGTTTTTGTTTTTTAATTCTCTATATCATTATCATTTTTGAGGTGGGTGTAGTGGTGGTGGTGGTGGTGAATGGGACGGGATCGGATAGAATGGGGTGGGGTGGTAAAATAAGAATAAATGATTTATTACATGATACCCATATGAGGGGTAACCAATTAATTTCCTCATACATATATATAATGGGGTTTTTAATAAAGAATAATAATAAATACATAGACAATAATAGTAATCATATTCGTATGAATTACCTTCAAGTTTTGTATTCAGTCGTCAGTTTAGGTGTAAATTTATGGATTAAGTAGTTGGTCATTTGGTGTGTTGTTTGTCTATTCTAGTATATATATATATATATATATATATATATATATATATATATATATATATATATACATGGATATTAATACTATAACCATTATTTATATTTACATAGATTCCAATAGAATATATATACATATATATTGATATAACATATGGAGACGTTTAAATGGGAATACATTTTAAAGGGGGGGGTAGAAACTAGAAAAAGTGTGTTTGGTTTTTGTTTCTTTTTTTCCGTTTTTTTTGTTTTTTTTGCGACAATTATGTTCAGTATTATTGATTTATGTGTATTCATCCAAATGATAACTCATAAATCTCTAAATAAACAAAAAAAGAAGAAAAAAGAAAGGAAGAAAGAAAGAAACTCATTTCGAGAGGAATAGGTTAGATAGAAGATGAATTAAGGTGAATGTTTCAAAATGTAAGTAAAATTTTGATTTAGATCTCTGAAAATATTATAATAAGATAGACTGAATGAAAGAGTTCTGAACAAGTGTTTGATCATAATTTTAAAAGAATGTTCAGTAGTATACACTCATTGACTTTAAATGGTACAGAGGAGAATGGGAAGAATCAGTTCTCCATCTCTAAATGCTCTCACATGGCCACGTGCATACCACTACTTCCATGGAAGTTCTACTCACTGCCTTCTTGTGGCATTACTATTGTTTACGAAAGTGAGAGGATGAAAAGCGAATATTCGAGGCTTTAACCGAGTTGGTGGAGATGGAGAGTCCACCTTGGGGGCGTTTGGAAAACCCTGATTCCAAACCAATAGTGCACATGGGTTTCAGTATCTTGAACGTAAAAATGGTGTATGAACCAATAGTTGGTCACCGGCTACCATGAAACTGCTTTGTCGATCGGACATTCAGATCAAAGGCTTCGGGTGTGGCCCCCTACGAAACCATCTTGTTCGGTTTGGGATCCTGGGTAGTATACCGGCCCTCACACAAATCGAATGATTTATGTGGTGCATATCTATTTGGTGCCTCTTTGTACCAATGTTTATGTGTTTAAATAAATAATAAATAAAAACTTTCATTGATAAGAATTATACCTAGCGATATAAAAGCAATAGTGTTACCACTTAGTT